CTTCATGCTCTTCCTTACTCTTCGAATATATCAGGATATCATCAATAAACACAATCACGAATTGATCCAGAAACGGCTTAAATATGCGATTCATGTAATCCATAAACACCGCAGGAGCATTAGTGAGTCCAAATGGGATTACTTGATACTGATAATGTCCATATCTAGATCGGAAGGCAGTCTTCGGAATATCTTCCTGCCTAATTCGGATTTGATGATAACCCGACCTCAAATCAATCTTTGAGAAAACACAAGCACCCCTCAACTGATCAAGCAAATCATCTATGCGAGGGAGAGGATACTTGTTCTTAATGGTAACCTTATTCAACTGACGGTAATCAGTGCACAATCTCATGCTACCGTCCTTCTAGCAGAATCATCAGCATCAAGCACAATCCTTTTACCGCAGCAGTCTATCATAGCACAGTTCTTTGTCAACCAGTCCATACCCAAGATAACTTGAAGGCTGATCATAGGTAAACAAATAAAATCCAGCACGTAATCTCGGCCTTCATATTTGAATTCGACATCTTTACACAACACGGATGTATAACACTCCTCTCCAGTAGCAGTAACCACTTTCATTGGAGGGCGAATGTCATACATTTGCAAATTTAGCCCAACGGCCATAAAATCAGACATACAGGAGTGTGTAGCTCGGAGCCTTCTCCGATTGTTGACGGTCCATGGTATATACTCTACCAACCGTCTGAGACTCTCGCATCGGTTGAACAACAGAGACCGGAACAGCAGTAGCTTGAACTGCCATAGTTCTTGCTTCATTCTGAGGACACTGCCTAGAGTAGTGACCGGATCTTCCACATTTAAAACAAATTAATTCTCCGGTAGCACATGGACCCCTATGCTCTTTGCCACATCCCCTACACTTGGGAGGAGGTCCTCTATCAACAAACTTCTTCTGAGTACCGGGTTTTTTGAACAAGTCAAAGGGCTTATTCGCATTCAGCTTCTTGCCTTGCACCTTCTTGTTCTTCCAATAACCTGAGCCCGTTGCTTTATTGGAACTAGGTGCCTGGGCCTCAGAAGACTTCTTGGTTTGGGACACCTTATACACTTCCTCCACCTTTCTACACTGGTTTACAAACCGACTGAATTCTCGGATGTCACAATTTGACATCTTCCGAGACATCTTTTCATTAAGACCCCATTGGAACTTGGAGGTCATTTCAGCCGGGGTGGGTAAGGCTCGCCCATAGTTGGCGTATTTCACCAACTCATTGAATTTTGAGAAGTATTGGTCAATAGACATCGACCCTTGTTTGAGATCGTTATACTCATTCTGCTTTTGTTCCCTAGCCTCTCTAGGGAAGTAGTTGTCCAAGAACAATGTCTCGAATAACCGCCATGTGATCTCCCGACCTTCAGCTTCTAATGGCTGCACGGTATTTGTCCACCAATCTTCTGCTTCCTCTTCCAGCATATAAACAGAGTAAGCCAACTTCATTGCGTCAGGGCACCTCATCACCCTGAATATCTTCTCCATAGCTTGGAGCCATTTTGCAGCCGCCATTGGCTCATAACCTCCCTTAAAAGAAGGGGGTTTATGTTTTCGGAAAGCCATCAATCTCCTTTCCTCCATTTCATGATCGCCGACATTTTCAACTTGAGGTTGACGAACCTCAGTGTGATGACTCAGACTCCCGGAGTGATGGCTACCCTCACCCTCATTGTTACCCACTCCACCCTCTTCCTGTGAAGGAGGTGGAGAAGGCGTAGCAGTGTGAGGAGGAGGAGTGGGTTGCCGGTTCACGGGCCTAGGACCCCTCAACGTCCTCAACTCGGTCATCATCGCGGCCATAGCAGTCCGCGAGTCTTCATTTGTCTTTAACAAATTTTCATTGGCTTGCCTGCTAGCAGCCAACTCTCTCTGAACGGCTGCAAGAGCTTCAGCCACGGGATCAGGAGGTACGCCCGTTGCCCCACGGCCACTTCTAGGCCTCACAAGAGCAGCCAAAACAGGTTCTGGCTGAGCATTGGTGTTTGATGGTCCGGGGTTGTTTCGGTTCCTCGTCATGTCACTACACATGTTACACAAAGAAGTGAGTTGATCAGGCCCACACTTAGTGATCACAAATGCAATAATCATACAGAGTACTAAAACAACTATAAAGCATCAAACACTAAGCATACTCAACAATAGCTAACAGTTATTCCCGACGAAACTGCTCTGATACCATAAAGTGTAACACCCCGTTCTAGAACCGGTTTGTTAACATCGCATTATGATATTAAGCGCAGTTACAATCACATGGGTTCAATTAAAATCCGGATAAATTTTTCATTTTAAAACGTACCGAACTTATAATACCCAATTTCGTGATCATAACCAAATTACCTTGCGGAAACAGATAAATTAAGCTTAACATCATGTTCATTTCCCATTTTTAAACCTTTAATTTACTTCTTGTTTAGTTCAATACTTCTACTATATTGTAGGTTTCTTCATTAGCTACCTGTGGCTTCAAACCGTGCTCAAATCGGAGCACTGTAGCCCAAGTTAGGACAATTTGAAGCAACACAAGAGAGTGTTGGTCACAGGCCCAGCGCGCTTCAGCGCGCTACCGGGCGCTCAAGCGCGCGCTATCGGGCGCTAAAGCCTCCATCTGGGCGCTTAAGCGCACGGAGGCAGTAAGCATCAGCATTTCCAGTGTGGATGGGCGCTTAAGCGCGCAACAGGGCGCTCAGGCGCGCTAGCCTGGGCGCTCAAGCTCCCACTGGGACGTTTTAGCGCGCAGAGACAGAAGCATCTCCTCCTTCAGTGGCGAAGGGCGCTTAAGCGCGGACCAGGGCGCTCAAGCGCGCAACCCTGGGCGCTTAAGCCCCACCCTGGGCGCTAAAACACGAGGGGGCAGTAAGCCACCCAACTTTCTGCAGCAAAGGGCGCTTAAGCGCACGCCAGGGCGCTCCAGCGCGCAATCCTGGGCGCTTAAGCCCCCACTTGGGCGCTCCAGCGCGAGGAGGCAGAATGCATTGGCACTCGCAGGGGCAGCAGGGCGCTTGGGCGCGCTCCTGGGCGCTTAAGCGCGCTGCCAGGGAATTCCAATTCCCACATTTCTCAAGTCCAAGCCTAGGGGAAAATGCATCCCCATTACAAACCCCAAATGTCCATGCCCCAAAACTAAATCCTAGCACTCATCCAACCTCTCCTCATGAGATTTAGCTAGAATTTGGGCAGCATGACCTTTGTTTTCTCATCGTTTACCAGTTTAAACAAAGGGTACCTAATTGATTTTCAGCCCAACCAATTCAACAACTCAATACATAACCAGCATGCATATATTGAATTCCAAGTAGACATCATTTACATTACATATCCTTTACAAATCATAGAACTTAGCTTACAAAACACTATGATCATTCCCTTGGCTCCCATCAACAAAAGGTGTAACCAAAGGCATGAGCATAGGCTAAGTTCATCCAATGAATCAAGATATACAAATGATCATGGGCTTTCAAAATAAAATCCTATACATGTCAACTACAAAAGGCATGCATAAACTCAAAGAAGGGCCATATTTCATGCATAATCTAGATAGGGCCACTTGCCACCAGAGGCTCCTGCAGCATCCTTACCTGAAAGGGGGTCCCCACAACACGGGGTGAGATATACGAATATATCCAGTAAACCAGGGGTCCTTGGAGCATCTCTCCACCCCACAGTTCCATATCAGTGTAATAGCAATAACAATAATAATGCAGTAAATACATATCTATGCAAAGTGCAATACATCTCCAGGAGAAATCCCTCGAGCTCTCAAGCTGTCCTAAGGAAACTCAGATGCAAATAGTCCTACTGGCCAGCTAACTACCAAGTATGATTTACGCATCGTCATGCCACATACCAACATAGGGAAACACCATCCTATGCCACACCAAATGCATACACATACGTATAACAAAGCATTACACTATTTTATTGCATTTATATACACAATCACAACCTCCACCCTTTCAGGGCTTGGTAGAACAGTCAAGGGAATTACACCCAAGGTCCGAAGGCTTACCTCAATGCTTCAGTCAACCTTTGTTCTTCACCAACAGTTTCAGCAATCAACTTTTACAAACATACACCTACACATGGTGTAATGCAATCAACACATTGCATCCAAGAGTATTTCACAATCAACCATCAATTACTCAATTCAAAGCACAACACAAGTATGAGCTTACCAATTCCAATGAGCTATTCAAGCTCCATAGCTTGCTCCAATGGTTGATCACTCACGGTTGGTCCAAATGTCTCAATCCTAGACATCACAAGGATCCAATCAATCATTCAACTCACTAATTGTTCAACATGCTAGAATACTAACCAATCCAAGCATGAATTTTCCAATATTATGAACGATTATCAAATGACTATCTAGGCTCATTTCCACCGATTAAATGACATTCCTAGCATTTTCCATAACATGCTCTAAGCTCCATTCTTCCTAGAACATAGCTAATTCAACTACATTTCATAAAAATCCCAATTTACTATTCACAAACCCTAACCCATGCAAATTTCAAGGAATCATGAGGTTCAAGGGTTTAAATCTTACCACCAATGGTTGCACAACAATGATGGGAGTGTTCCTCAAGCTCCCATGGAGGTAGAAGCCACCAAAACTCCAAAATCTCACCAATGGCCGAATTTTTGAGAGCCAATATCCCTCTCCACAATGTTCCCCACTCAAAACAAAGCTTGGATTATGAAAGAGGGCGAGATTCTAAGCGATTTAGGCTTTTGAATCACTCAAATCGGTTAAGGTTTCCTCTCTCTCTCTTCCTCCCTTCCTTCTCCCTCCTTTCTCCTTCTTCTTCTCCTTCTCTCTGTTTTCTGGCGACGGGAATTGGGTGGGAAATGGGGGTCACTTTTGGCTTTTGGTCACTTAACATTGGTTAAGTGACTTTAAGCGGGTATTGGTTCGTCTATCTATTCAACTCAAATAATTACCAAACTTTACCCAAAAGTCTGGAATATTATTCTAGGAATATTACTATTTCTATTTTTATATTTTGGGTACTTTTGACAATACCCATTTATACCCCTTAATTTTCACTGAGTACACTTTTTAACTCCAAAGTGACTCAGATTCATTTAATTGAGCATTATACTTAATCTTATCCAGTAAAACATGCTTAATTAATTAATTACACTTGATTTACAAATTAATTAAGATGGGCTATTATACTCATTCTCTTAGAGGCAACACTTTCTTCCATCACTTTTTCAAATTTCAACTTTTCTGCATATATCACTTCACTAGGGTTTTAGTATTCGTAGGTTGTTTTTGATTTTGCAATAACAGTTCAAATATTGGGGTTCTATTTTTTTTTTTTAAATCAGAAATGTTGTGCCTAGTTAGATTCAGATTTTGGCATGTCATCTTTTTTCCTATATAATATTATGATTTTTTTATAAAGTCATATTTTATTTATAACATGTGACTTTATTACAATAAACAAAAAAAATATTAAATTTTTGAAAGCCCGCGAGTTGGTCTTAACTCATAGGGCTTTGGGCCCGTGCGAGCCTTTATTATAGTGGCCTTTTTGATCCTGCGGACTTTTTGACACTGGCCCGCACTAGCTAGGGCCTAACGGGCTGGGCTAGCCCATTTTGACAGCTCTAGGTCAGACTAATGTAATATGATTTTGGTGTCATGTAGTGATAATTTACCGAATATATATATAGGGAAAAATATTTCTCAAACAGCTTGAGATAAGTTTATCTTCGGCTATCCCAAAATTACTTCGTTTTATTTATTTATTTTCTTATATTAATTGATTCACCTTTAAATGGTTATGATCTATATAGCATGGACACGCTCTAACACGCGGTTAACATTTAGGGACACGCTGCGACACGCGGTTAACATTTAGGGACATACGATCAACTCTCCGACACGCAGTCAATTTTTTCTGACACGCGGTCAACGCTCGGATACGTTTTTTTTTAAATCTTAATTTTATTTTGTTAACTAAATATAAAAAAATTTATTTATAAATTAATTTTTTTCTGTTATGAAATTTGACATGAAAAATTAACAAAGTACAAAAAATTATTTATATTTATATTTATATTTATATTTATGTTATGAAATTTAAATATTTGATTGGTTATATGACTTATTATGAACTCTTATATGTATTAAATATAAATTATATTATATATATTAAAATTTTTATTTAATATCAAAACGTGTCCCAACGTGTCGAAATATGGCATTTTTTAGAATTAACGTGTCGGCGTGTCGTGTCGTGTCCCGTGTCCGTGTCCGTGCATCATAGGTTATGATTCTCTTTTTCTCTCTCTTCCTTTATCACCATTTATCCATCTTTGTACGGTTATGATTTAGTAGTCGGAGATAAGATTATTTCAAGCAGCTTGAGAAACGATAAGCCCATATATATATATATATATATATATATATATCGTGAAAAATGATTAAACATAGTGCATGCATGGGCACTGCAACCCGAAGCATAATGGTGTGGCCTGATGAGGGTTGCTTCTCTCTTGAATAAAATTCGAACATAGTGCATGGGCACTGCAACCCGAAGCATACCGGAACACTAAGCAATGCTGGTTTTATATTAGATTAATTGATGTATCCCTATATTCATGTTACGTGAAATTTCATGACGTTGATGATATTTAATAGCATATACATCTGTTTGTTGGTGTGCATTTGGTACTTGGATATCTTTGATGATTGTGTATTATTTTATGGTTAAAAACTTAAAATGAAGTTTATTATTTGGTATATGTGGTATAGCCAAATAATGTTAATTTGAAAATTAAAGGCATTAAGGAGTGATCGAGGAGGAGATTATAATGACCCTTCAAGGAGTTCTATTTGGAATGTGATATTATACACCAAACAATTGCTCCTTATGCATGCAATCCGATGAGATTGTTGAGAGAAAGAACCGGACATTAAATGAAATGATGTGTTGGCGTCTGGTTTACCACAAAATTTGTTGGAGGAAGTCATTTTAATGACAAATTTTATAATCACAATAGAGTACCCCACAAGAAAACATAGAACATCCCCTATGAAATGTGAAAAGGTAGGAAGCCTACGTGGAATTATCTTGAAGTGTGTGGGTGTTTGACAAAGGTCATGATTCTGAAACCAAAAAAAGGTTAAGATCGGACCAAAGACAATGGACTCTGTGTTCGTTGGATATGTACATAATAAAGGTGCATATCGATTGTGATGCAAATTGAATCACTGACTCTAGTAACACCAACTCCACAAGTGGGCATATGTACGCACTTGGTGGGAGTGTTGTGTCTTGGAAATCATCCAAGCAAACAGGTATTACAAGGTCGACAATGGAAGCAAAAACCTATTGCCTCGGATAGAGTCGGTTAGGTAATCGAGTGGTTGTGTAACTTCCTTGGAGATATTCTGAACTGGCGAAGCCAGTCCCTGTGCATACACTGTGATAGTCAGGCAATGATCAAAAGAGCAAGGAGTATTATGTATGATGATAAGTCCCGATATATATATTAGAGGCGTGATCTCGTGAGGCAATTACTATCTAGTGGTATTATTACAGATCCGTTAACTAAAGGTTTGACTAGAGAGTTAAAGGGAAATTTGTTGAAAGGAATGGGTTTAAAGCCTATAAATTATTGATTATTGCGGTAACTCTACCTTGATGAGTGGAGATCCCACGAACTAGGTTCAAAGAGAGAACTAAGTGATGATCGACTGTTAATACTGTGGAGTTTCTAAACTCATATTCATTCCTATGACAAAATAGTGTATATGAGGGTAAGCATTTATGCTTTTAATGGTTTCTTAATCTGATGTGTTCATATGGTGTATGTTAAGTTACATCACAAGAATCACCTAGGTGAGTGTAAAGTGGGGGCCGCTTCTATTAGAATTTGTAAAGGCCAATTCTGTAGAACACTCACAGAACCAGGCAGGTGTCCCAAGGCCAAAATGGGCACAACAATGAGGACCGACAATGTTAGGGAAGCAATTGTGTGACTCTTATTGTCTAGTTATACACTAAAGGTCGACGGTTCAAGTCGACCAGACCACCGATTGACCGAGTATATCTGATAGGTTTCACTAAAAAAGGTTCAAAGGTAACTCTACCTATCTCGATGCAATTGTTTCTCGTTGAGGAATTTACATTTTGTATTCATGTTCATATGCATTTGGTCACGATGAATTGACTTCTTATCCATGTGAGGGGATTGTTGGATTTTGGGTCTAAATCCCATGGATTATGAATAAAAAGTTTGATATGAAAATGTGTGTCTTTTCGTCGTCGAACGGATGTATCTTTTCGTATCGAATAGATGGGTCTTTTCGTGTTGAACAGATGGGTCTTTTCGTCGACGAAAATGTGCCTTTTGAATCGTGACCTTATGTTTTCTATAAATATATAGAGTCATAATTTTATTTAAGTTTAAAAAAAAAAAATATGTATTGTGCATCCATACCATAGCATTAGATAGTATGATTCCTCAGACATTCAGTTGTGTTCGTTCGGGCTTCTGATTGGTAGTACCATCGTTCTGGAGACGCAATTTGTTCTATCCTAAGAGACAATTGTACATCAACCTTCGGCATAAATAGAGGAAACACATTGTCTTAAGGAGACAACATCTGTTGAGCTTAGAGTTATCTGCATATTGACATCTCTTTTATATATCATGTGAGTTCGTTCTTTATTTTTTATTATATTTTAATTGTAAATTTAATTTTAACATCTTCATTGCACAAATTTAAATCTCTTGCTGATTACTCACTCACTTTCTTCGACAGCACCAACTTGACCACGTGGATCTCTTTACTACACCTAACACCGATAAATTCTGAGAAATATGTGTTTGGGTCTTTTTTTATTTTTATATTTCACTTGTAATCTTAACAATATTTAATCTACTCACTAAATCAAATCTGTAATTTAATGTAACAAAGTAATTAAATTAAATAATTAACAATTTTGACTTCGAGTGAGTTCCTATATATCCAATCCAAGAGCATGTTCAAGAGCAGTTGGTCAGAAAACAAACTCTGCAGAAAAATGAAGAAGAGAGAAGAAAGTCTTGAATGAGAAATTAGTGTGATTAATGTAATGAATAAGGAAGAGGAAGATTGCAGTTATTTACATATTTGCAAGCTAATGTGTAAAATTACACTATACAGTAGGATCCACCTGATCAACTCCTGTAACGGTCTAACAGAAACTGTTGCCCAACTAACTGATCACTGGATGTAAATAACTGAAACAGAAGATTTGGAGCAGAGAAGAGAAGAGAAGAGGAGATATGATTGGGCGAAGGGTTTTGGAGTGGCAAGTTGTGTGTGTTCTACACAGTTGCACCAACCTGAATCACGTGAAACAAGTTCATGCCCACATTTACCGCAACAACCTCAACCAATGTTCCTACGTTATCACCAAGCTTCTTCGCGTTCTCACCATGTTCCACCATGTTCCCATCGACACCTACCCTCGCCTTGTCTTTAAACAGGTCCACACCCCAAACCCTTTTCTCTGGACCGCTCTCATTCGTGCCTATGCTCTTCGAGGACCCCTTTTTGAGGCATTTCGTTTGTACGGTTCTATGAGGATGCAACGCATTGATCCCCTGTCGTTTACCTTCTCTGCTCTGTTTTCAGCTTGTGGCGTAGTTCGTGATCCTAGTTTGGGCGCGCAGGTTCATGCCCAGACACTGTTGGTTGGTGGGTTTGACTCTGATTTGTATGTCAACAACACCATGATCGATATGTATGTGAAATCTGGGCTTTTGCATTGTGCGCGCAAGGTGTTTGATGAAATGGTTGAACGGGATGTGGTTTCTTGGACCGAGTTGATTGTTGCGTATGCCAGGACTGGGGATATGAAGTCTGCACTGGACTTGTTTGATGGATTGCCTGTTAAGGATATGGTGGCTTGGACTGCAATGGTTACTGGGTATGCCCAGAATGCCATGCCAAAGAAAGCATTGGAGTTTTACGAGCTGTTGCGAAATGCTGGTATAGAGACTGATGAAGTTACCTTGGTTGGTGTCATTTCTGCTTGTGCTCAAGTGGGTGCATCTAAGTATGCTAACTGGATAAGGGACATTGCAAAGAGTTCTGGATTTGGGCCGGAAAATAATGTACTTGTGGGATCTGCGTTGATAGACATGTTCTCCAAATGTGGTAACGTGGAGGAGGCATATAATGTGTTTAAAGGAATGAAGGAAAGAAATGTGTATTCTTACAGTTCCATGATTGTGGGGTTTGCAATCCATGGCCGTGCTCATGCTGCAATTAAATTATTTTATGAGATGTTGGAGACGGAGATAAAACCAAACCATGTTACTTTTGTTGGGGTGCTTACAGCCTGCAGTCATGCAGGCATGGTAGACCAAGGTCAACAACTCTTTGCTACCATGGAAAAATGTTATGATGTTGCTCCAACTTCAGATCATTATGCTTGCATGGCAGATCTTCTTGGCCGAGCTGGACACTTGGAAAAAGCACTTCGGCTTGTTGAGACAATGCCTATGGAGCCCAATGGAGGTGTATGGGGAGCACTTCTTGGAGCATCACACATCCATGGGAACCCTGATGTTGCGGAAATTGCGTCTAGCCATTTATTTGATCTTGAACCTGATAACATGGGGAATTATTTATTGCTTTCTAACACTTATGCATCAGCTGGAAGATGGGATGATGTGTCAAGGGTCAGGAAATTGATGAGAGAGAAAAAATTGAAAAAAAATCCAGGGTGTAGCTGGGTTGAAGCAAAAAATGGTATGATTCACGAGTTTTTTGCTGGTGATGTAAAACATCCAGAAATTAATGAGATAAAGAAGGCATTGGATGATCTTTTGGAACGACTGAAGGCTATTGGATACCAGCCAAACCTCAGTTCTGTGCCATATGATATTAATGATAAAGAAAAGAGGCTTTTACTAATGGCTCATAGTGAAAAACTAGCTTTGGCATTTGGACTGCTAAGTAATGATGCTGGTTCTACTATAAAGATTATGAAGAACCTCAGGATATGTGAGGATTGTCATACTGTAATGTGTGGCGCATCAAAAATTACAGGAAGAAAAATTGTTGTGAGGGATAACACGAGATTCCACCACTTCATTAATGGGGCCTGCTCTTGTGGTAATTTTTGGTGACCAAGGCTAGGTCAATATGGCGGGGGGAAACTGACATATTGGTGTTGGAAGAATAAATTTGATGTGGGTGGCCAATCCATTTGTTATTTCTGATAAATTAGAGTCATGTAAAGAATGTTTTGTGGCTGCCTAGATATCAAATATTTAGAGAAGGATATTGAAATTTTAAATCAAAGGCACACCTATTCATTTTACAGGGTTGTTCAATTTATCATTGAGGTGATTTAAAGATGAAGAGGGAAGCCAAGTGAGGGCAACTAGCTGACAAATTTTTATCCCCGGCAAAGCAAATGTTTTTACAGATACATGATCAATCAGCAGTGTAATTATGAAGTAGCAACATCACGGGATGTTACATAGAGATGGGAAACAATGACTCTGATAGAGGATGAGATAAACTTACTATATCGATTCAGGTGGAATCCTGAAACTTCATATATGCAGTGACAAATAAAGCAATGGTTAGTAATAGAAAATAAGGTATGAAGAGATACTGAGGAAACCAGCTAAATGAAGCCCTTATATTTTTTGGTCTTCAATTTGGCCCGGTCTATGGGAAAACTATCTCCAATAAGTCTGGAAGAAATATAGCAGGCTGCTAGAGAATACCTTGGAAAAATGGTTCTTTACATCATGAGCTATGATCTATGATTACAGGTAGCTCTTGCAAAATTAGATTTAGATTTTCTTTATGAATTACTTTATTACTTTAAAGATAGTGTCCTTCTTAGTGTTACACTGAAGTTATAGTTCGTAAGATATATCACTTGATGGACTCAAAGATCTTGTTGCTTCAGAATTTAGAGCTTCCTTGATCTTATTACTTGAATCAATGATCGAATGTGGTGGATACTTAGAACTTTTTAGGAAAAAAAATAATTATTAGTTTATTACATATGATATAATCTGGTAGAATCTTGTAAAAAGTAAATACTTTTTACTTTTTACAAGAATATTTACTTGTAATGTGTAATTTATAACTGGTGGAGCATTAAACTCTAGATATTATCACTACATTAATCTTAAAACTGTGACACATGCCTAATGGGTTCGTCAATGCTCAAATTAGACTAATCAGATATCTAAAATTGTGACAGATGGCAATTGAGTTACAATCTCGTTTTATTTTATTTTAACTTTTACCTTCTAAGAATCAACTCAATTTTATCTATCTTATGCAGATGCCCCTTCTCCTCTTCCAAAAGGAAAGATAACCCTTCCACTTCCCCAAAGGAAAGACAACAATGGCAATTGGCTTATCATCCCGGAAAAGTTTTATTTTAAGGACGTACAAAGATAATTATTGTTTTTTTTTTTTTAAAAGAACAATTACTAATTTGGAGTTTAGTTATTGAAATCATATATGCATGTTTGTATATTATTGTGCTAACTGTTGGGCTTCCTCCTTCAATGCTAAGCCCAAGCCCATTGAAGGGTTTCCTAAAAATCCTAACCCTAGATTTCACCTTCTCTATATATTCATTAGTTGTGGGTGGAGGCTAGGTTAGATTGAAAGAAAATTATCTGAGAAATTTGTGAGCAAAGCTTTGAACTTTGTATTTGAGAGATCTCTAGAGAGAGTTTGAATGAAACATCTCTAGAGAAGTTTGATTATCACCATTGTTGGAGAGGTTGTGTTAATCACCACTTTGGTGAATTTTGATTCTTTGTATCCATTATTTTCATAGTGGAAGTTTGAACTGTACTAGGTCTCGTGGGTTTTTACTTCTTCATTGGAGAAGATTTTACCACGTTAAAATCTGTTTGTGTTTTCTCTCTCTCTCTCCCCTTTGTGTTTTTCGTTTTTCCGCTGCGCCACCCGACCTGGTGATTCAGGCCGAGCTTATATTGCCGAGATCTGAGATCCAAGATTTTGTTGATTGACTTCCGCAAAAGGCTGTAGAAGCCGAGTTGAGGGAACCGAGTTCCCAACAGTGGTATCAGAGCTCGAGTTCGACGGGTTCTAAGGGAGACGAGATGGAGACCAGTGGCACAACTCATGATGGAGATATGTTCAAGTTGACCGCAAACAACTTCACTTATCGGAGACCGATGATGGAAGATCATCTCTACTACAAAGATTTACATGAGCCCATTATCCTTGATGAGAGACCGGCAGGCAAGACCAATAAGGAGTGGGAGATTCAGAGTCGTAAAGCGGTAGCTACAATTAGAAAATACATAGACAAGAGCCTCTTTGAGCACGTGTCCGAGTTCACGAACGCATATGAGTTGTGGACGAAGCTGGAGTCCATGATTCAGAAGAAGACTCCCAAGAACAAAGCATACCCGCCAACTTGTGAAGCTTGAATACAAGGACGGCATGAGCATGATTGAACACCTCAACACCTACAAAGGTATTGTGAATCAGCTGTCAAAAGCCGAGATGAAAATTGATGATGAGATGCAGGCTTTGCTGCTGTTAAGCTCGCTACCACAAAGCTGGGATACTCTGGTGGTGACTTTGAGTAATTCGACTCCAGAAGAAAAATTGAAGATGGATGTCGTAATCGATAGTCTCCTGAGCGAAGCAGTCAGGAGAAGAGAACGAGGTGTTTCTAGCACGTCTGAGGCCAACGTTGTTGAGAACAAAGGAAAATCTGACTCCCGGGGTAGAAGAAAAAGTCGGGGTCGGGGTCGAGATCGTGACAGAAGAGGAAAATCCAGAGGTCGGTTAAAGCCGAAATATGAGTTGAAGTGCTTCTATTGTGGGAAGACAGGACATAAGAAGCCAGACAGCTGGGCTTTGCAGAATGATGAGAAGAACGGCTCTGTGAAGCCGGACCAGATTATTCCCAAGAAGAGGGAAGACAAGAGCACCATTGCGGTGGCTGCCAACTCGAATACCGAGATATTCCTCCTTAGTGAGGATAATTATTTGAATGTAGCATATGATGACTGCACTTGGATTGTTGACTCTGGTTCCTCCTTCCACGTTACTCCACACAAAAGTTTTTTCTCTTCTTACCGAGGTGGTGATTTTGGAGTTGTGAAGATGGGAAATCAGGTGACAAGCAAGATTGTTGGTGTCAGTGATGTGACCCTGACCACGGATGTTGGGTGCCGACTTGTGTTGAAGGATGTGAGGAATGTACCTGATATGTGTTTGAACCTAATCTCGGTAGGCAAGCTTGATGATGTCGGGTTAGTGAACTACTTCGGTAGTGTTAGATGGAAGCTGGCCAAGGGAAACTTGGTCGTGGCCCGAGGTAAGAAGGAAGGCTCCTTGTACGTGATGCAAGGAAAGATCAATGGCGGAGAAGCCAATTCTGTCCGAGATGGACCTACCTTGGAGCTATGGCACAAGCGCCTCGGCCACATGAGTGTGAAAGGGCTCCAAATTCTGAGCAAGAAAGAATTATTGACCGGGTTGAAGGGCCAAGCGTTGGAGAGTTGCACGCATTGCCTAGCTGGAAAGCAGCACCGAGTTTCTTTTGTGAGACCGGATCAACCCCGACGAGGCAGGTATATTCTTGACCTCGTCCATACTGATGTTTGCTCCATGTCGGAAAGATCCCTTGGAGGAGCTCAGTACTTTGTTTCATTCATTGATGACCACTCCCGCAAAGTGGGTTTATTTGTTGAAGTCTAAAGAGTAGGTATTCCAAGCCTTTAAAGAATTCCATGCAATGGTTGAAAGGGAGACTGGCAAGAAATTAAAGGTGGTCAGATCTGACAATGGTGGTGAGTATTGCGGCCCATTTGATGCATACTGCAGAGCGGCCGGGATCCGACTTGAAAAGACGCCCCCCAAGACTCCACAGTTGAATTGACTTGCTGAGAGAATGAACCGGACTATTGAAGAGAAGGTCTGATGTATGCTATCCAATGCCGGATTTCCGAAATCATTCTAGGGAGAAGCCGTCAGAGCTGCTGTTGACTTGATCAACCTCTAACCATCACGGCCACTTGAAGGAGAAATTCCAGAAGAAGTCTGGACAGGTCGGAAAACGGCCTATAATCAATTGAAGGTGTTTGGATGCCGAGCTTTCGTGCATATTCCTAAAGATGAAAGGGCTAAACTTGATGCGAAGATTAAAGAATGCATATATCTTGGTTCGTCGAGATGTGAGTTCGGGTTCTGACTTTGGGATCCAATCAATAAGAAGATAGTGAGAAGTCGAGATGTGATCTTTCATGAAGATGAGACCATTCATGACATCTCGAAGCCCAAAGTCCGGGTTACTGTCAGACGTGAAGAATCCATCCCTCCTGTCCGAGCTGAAGCAGGGGGAGAAAATCAAGAAAATGATGACCATCGACAAGCTGATGATGAGGTCCGAGTTGATGATGAGATCCAGGATGAGAATGATGAACCAGGTTCTCAAGCTGAAGAACAACCGAGATATCTAACTCGAGAAAGAAGACCCTCTACAAGGTACCCATCTGATGAATACACCGTTGTTGCTGAAGACGGTGAGCCTCAGAGTTATGATGAGGCTGTGACGAGCTCAGAGAAAGAAAAATGGGAAAAGGCAATGCAAGACGAGATGAAGTCTCTGCACGAGAATCAGACTTATGAGCTGACCGAGTTGTCTAAAGGAAGACGAGCTCTGAAAAATAAATGGGTCTATAAGATTAAAAATGAAGAGAACGGGCAGAAGCCGAGATACAAAGCTCGAATTGTAGTGAAAGGCTGCAATCAGAAGAAAGGAGTAGACTTTGAGGAGATCTTTTCTCCTGTGGTGAAAATGACCTCGGTCCTAACCGTGCTAGCTATAGCGACTTCGATGGATCTCAAGGTAGAACAAATGGACGTGAAGACGACATTTCTTCACGGTGATTTAGAATAAGAGATATATATGGAGCTACCTGAGGGGTTCCGAGCTCCAGACCAAGAAGACTTGGTATGTCGGTTGAAGAAGAGCCTCTATGGTTTGAAGCAAGCACCTCGGCAGTGGTACAAGAAGTTTGAATCATTTATGACCGATCACAAGCTTGAGAAGACAGAAACCGACCACTGCGTATTTGTGAAGAGGTATGAGGCCGGAGATTTTTTGATTTTGTTATTATATGTTGACGACATGCTTATTGTAGGGAAAGACAAATCGAGGATAGCCGCCCTGAAGAAGGCGTTGAGCTCGTCCTTCACAATGAAGGACCTCGGCCCTGCAAAGCAGATACTCAGAATCAAGATTATCCGAGATAGACAAAAGAAGCTACTGTGGCTGAGTCAAGAGAAGTATATTGAGAAGATTCTGAAGAGATTCAGCATGGACAAAGCCAAAACGGTGAGCACCCCCCTAGCCGGACACATAAAGCTGAACCAGAAGCAATGTCCGAGATCTGATCAAGACAAAGACGAGATGCTGAAGATCCCACACCAATCCGTTGTCAGAAGCTTGATGTATGCAATGGTTTGCACCAGACCCGACTTAGCATATGCTGTTGGAATGGTAAGCTGGTATTTGTCAAACCCCGACAAAGAGCACTGGGAAGCAGTGAAGTGGATCTTCAAGTACCTCCAAGGTACGACCAATTTATGCCTCCGATTTGAAGAAGGAAAAGCCGAGTTGCAAGGCTACTCAGATTCTGATTTAGGGGGAGATTTCGACTCGAAGAAGTCGACGACGGGATACATGATGAGATTTGTCGGAGGAGCTGTCTCTTGGCAATCACAGAAGTGTGTTGCACTATCGACAATCGAGGCTGAGTACATTGCCGCTACTGAGGCAAACAAAGAGATGTTGTGTATGAAGAAGTTCCTCATGGAACTCGGCTATGATCAAGACAAGTACGAGCAGGGTTGTGACAATCAAAGCGCAATCCATCTTGCGAAGAATTCGACCTATCACTCCCGCACTAAGCACATTGATGTGAGGTATCACTGGATCCGGGATGTGGTGGAAGGTGGAGAGCTCGAACTCGTCAAAGTGCACACTGACCATAATTGGTCCGACATGATGTCAAAGCCGGTTCCAGCAAGGAAATTTGAAGACTGCTATGAAGGAGCCGGGCTGATGCTGAAGTCGACGCATGAAGTCGGAGGGGGAGATTTGTTGGGCTTCCTCCTTCAATGCTAAGCCCAAGCCCATTGAGGGATTTCCTAAAAACCCTAACCCTAGATTCCACTTCCTCTATATATTCATTAGTTGTGGGTGGAGGCTAGGTTAGATTGAGAGAAAATTATTTGAGAAATTTGTAAGCAAAGCTTTGAGCTTTGTATTTGAGAGATCTCTAGAGAGAGTTTGAATGAAACATCTCTAGAGAAGTTTGATTATCACCATTGTTGGAGAGGTTGTGTTAACCACCACTTTGGTGAATTTTGATTCTTTGAATCCATTATTTTCATAGTGGACGTTTGAACTGGACTAGGTCTCGTGGGTTTTTACTTCTTCATTTGAGAAGGTTTTCCCACGCTAAAATCTGTTTGTGTTCTCTCTCTCTCTCTCTCTCCCCTTTGTGTTTTTCGTTTTTCCGCTGCGCCGCACGACCTGGTGAATCAGGCCGAGCTTATATTGCCGAGATCCATGATCTTGTTGATTGACTTCCGCAAAAGGCTGTAGAAGTCGAGTTGAGAGAACCGAGTTCCCAACACTAACAACTTAAAATCTAATTATGTCTTTCTAATATTTTTTTAAAAGATGATAACTAACACGACCATTCTCTATCTCTCTCTCCCTCTCCCTCTCTCTCTCCCCCTCTCTCTCCCTCCTTCCTTTTTTTTTGGTACTCCTTATCAACTTCTTTTGTCATTTGTCATTTGTCATTGAACCACTCTCTCCTTCTTCTTTTTTGATACTCCTTATCAACTTCTTTTGTCATTTGTCATTGAACCATTTGTTTTGGAAAAAGCTTGTGTCCTTGAAACTTCATTGCTTGTCTAAGATGGAAGTATTATACAAATGGTTAGACTTTATTGTAAACTCTCAAGATTTTTTTTTATGAAACTTCTCTAAGTCTGAGAAAAATAATGACATCTTTTTTGTCCTTGAAACAAATGACTCAATCTCATCATATAATTTCTTTTAAGAAATTATTTTCATGATATAATTTTTTTTAAAAAAGAAATTAATCGTTTTAGTTTTCAAGAAAAATTTCTTTTTTTTGGATTTTCACCTTTTTAAATAACAATTATTTAATTATTTTAAAAAAAATTGAACATATTTTTATTTTTTTTAAAAAAAACACAAATGAACATGCGAATAATTGGAAGATTCTCTAGGTTTGTGCTGGGTTCGTGAGGGGCATGATTAAGCCTTATTATGATACATTATATATTTCTGTTCTCAAAAAAGAAAATCATAGATTTCAGTTCATCTTCCGTATATTTGTCCCAATCAAAAGCTGCATGAATGGTCTTGACATTTTCATTTCTTTTATGAGCTAACTTATTAACTGTCACTTTGAATATTATATTTTCCAAATTAATCTTTCCAACAATAAAAATCCAAACAATGAAGGCATGCATAACCAATAATGCGAATATTATATTCTTATGCACAACCTAACTAATATTTTTTTAGGAAATGTTACAATCATGGGTGTATGGTACAAATGGCTAGACTTTATTGAACAATTCTTAATATTATTTTTATTTATTTATTTATTTTTTTGTGAAACTTTTCTAAGATTATGACCCCTTTTTTTTTTCATGAAACAAAATGACTCAAACCGATCATTTAAGTTTAAAAAACGTTTTTTTGGAACTTCCTTATAAGGTACTCTTTTTAATATTCGAGAAAAATATTAAAACTACTTGTTTTTATTTTTAGTTTTTAGAAAAAAATTATTTTTAAATTTTTAAATTTTACAATAAAAAACACAAATAATCAGGACAATAATCGAGGAATCAGGGCTTTCTCAATTGAGGCTACACTCTTGTGAGGGCCATGCATGACATGATACATGCTCCTTATAATTTGTCCCAACCAAAAGCTGCTTAAATAGCTTTCACATTTCCAATTCCTTTGCTGATGATGACCTAAATAATTAACTCTCAATTTCAACATTATATAATGGGTTCGCTTTTTCTGCAGTAAGCCAATACGACGTCGTTTTGGAATGGAAATCATGGTGTTTTTGTAATTTTAATTTATTTTAAGGTTATAATAGTCTTTATATTTATAATTTTTTAAGATTTCAATACCAAAACGACGTCGTTTTGGGAATAAATGCAGATAACTTCTCTGCATTAACTGTGGAAACATTTTTCCCTTATATAATTGCATACATCAGTCCAATAACGTTATATAATTGTGCCATCCCTCCACATAGTGTCTGAATATATATTGTCTTCTTGTAATATTCTTCAGTTTATTCATTTTTGTTATTATAAATTTATAATATTCTTCCAATGGGGTTGAAAAATTAAAAGCTTGACTTTTTCATGCTTGAGGTGGAAAAAAAATAAAACTTCTCAAAATATACATAGCCCTTAATATATCTGATATATAATATAAATGAAAGTAATAGACATTACAAGAAAAATAAAAACAAATACTAAGAGACAAACTGGAGGTGTTACAATCAATTAGCACCAAGAAGCAACCATCATTCATGTAATTCCAAATCCAAATTCATGAACCAATCAATACATCAACATGTCAACAGAGGCCATGATTGGTTGATTGAGAGGAGATAGAGAGTTCCATGTGTCCATGAAGCCACCACAATCATTGAAATGAGTCTCCTGAGATTCATCAAAGAGGTAACTGCTTGAGTTTATGTAACCAATGATTTCATTGAGAGACTGCAACCTGTTGCTTAGTTCTGCCATCTGAGTCCTGAGAATTTCATTCTCAGCTTCAACGTTCAGGTACAACTGTGTGGTGATGCCTATGCTATTGTTGATTTGGTTATTATCATTCTTAAGCTGATCCGCTATAGCAATAAGACCATCCAGGTGTTGCTGTTTCTTCATCCTTGATCTACGTGCTGATTCTCTATTGGACAGCATTCTCTTCCTTTTCCTTTGATCCATGATATGCTGTTGCTGCATGTCTCCATCAGAACCAGATGCAGAGTTTTGAAGAGAGCTTGAACCAGGTGAATAAGCTCCACTAGGTGAAGCCATATATATGCTATGCAATAATTAATAATAATAATAATAATACTATTTCCTAGCTAGTTTTATAGATTGAATATAATGGTAATTAATGTATTCAAAAGGAAAAAAAGAGCCAAGTCAAGATGTGTTTATGAAAAGAAATGAGGTTTATATAGTTCATGAGAAAACGTAGAACCAGTAGAGGAAAACAACAGAGAAAGATTGAACCAAGTGAGTCCTGCGTCTGAGAGTGGAGTTTATCATAAAACCAGAGAGGAGGATCTCACAGATTACTGGAGACATTTGTTTTGTCTCTCAATCATTCATAACTGGCTAATTGTAAATATATGAACAAAACAAACCAAAATTTCTTTGTGAAAGTAAGAGCAACAAATCAAACTTTCAAAGGCTGATGGATATGGAGAAGATTGTGTAGATGTATAACGGTAGAAGATTATTGTATAGATGAGACAATATATGTAGAAGAAAAATCCAGAGCTTGGAAAAGGATGTCAAAGACTATGGGCAGGGTAACCTCTAATTCTATTGGCAAGAGAAGATAACAACAAAGGAATTTGCTAAAAAGAAAAAGAGGAGGATAAGATGAGAAAAGGAAGAGGTTTTGATGGGATTCAGGGGTTGAATTTATAGAGAAAAAAAATTGCCCATTTGGAATAATGGAATAGAATAAAATAAACCATACACTTAGGCAGCGGGTTTGGTATTTGCTCTTTTTTTTTTTTTTTTTGGGCAATGCAGAATAAAAAATGCAATACAGATGTAAAAGAGAGTAAAAGTGGGAATGCAAGGAAAGGGCTTGGAAAGGGTCATACAGGCACCGCTTCTGTTCATGTGCACGCTGCTAGCTGCAGTAATATTTTATATATTATAAATTATATTAATGTTTTTGATAGGAGGAGGATTATATTTACAAATTTTTTATTTATAAACTCTTACAAACTACACTATGTCTTTCCGGGAGTATATAATGTAATTTGCAAAAATTTGTAAAAAAAATTTATAAACGGATCCTTCCCTTTTTGATGTTAGATGAGATAATTTTATTTTTTATATACATAAAAGTATATAGTATTTATATTTTCTTTTTCTTTTTCTCCGTTTCACATAAATTCTATACACTTTTATATATATATATATATATATATATATATATATATATATATATATAAAATAAAATTTTCTCATATATTATATAACATGAAAAATATTAATCTCATTATATATTGTCATTTATCAAATGATAACGCAATATGACGGTGATCTACTTCTTAGACTCTGGACCACATATTTATTGTATTTATTTATTGATGAATGATGCCCGTGGGATCTTAGGTAATCAATGGTAGTTGGAGTTGATTTTTTAATCATCTTTCAGTGTTTTTTTCTTGTTACACACCTAAGCGTTTGATTTTCTTTTCTTTTCTTTGTTATTATCTGTGGCCTATCATGAATGATGTTAGAGTGAGCTCCAAAAGCTTTTTGACTTCTTACTACAAACTCAAATTATTAAACGTCAATTTGAACTTGTGATTATTATTATTTTTTTGTAAACATTTGAAGTTTGTATAAAATTTATTGTGACTTAAAATAAGTTACTTAGACAAACAATATATATGTTCTAACTAATATGTTATTTTAATGAAACAATAGGAGCTTTTTAAATTTCCATGGAGCATATATTATGCGGTATTTATAAATCATAATACACGAATAGAAAATTAGTATTTAGAGATGGTGAATGCTTTTTCAACAATGATACAGCCGGCATTTGACCACTAACATTCATCTATATCATGGATACATGAATGATGTACAGTAAGCACATGCTTCCAGTTGTGGTTGCTGAAAAAGAAAAAGATTCCCGACCAATGTCCAGTGGGGTGGCAATGCCAGCCCAACTATTTATTCTAGAATTTTAATATTACCATTATATATAAACTTTAATACTTCTCGTGTTACTGCAGATAAAAAATTTGCAACAATATTTATTTATATTAAGATTCGTCTGCGGATTCTAATTTTTTTTTTTTAAATGTCAGGATCCGTCAACTAATCCTAATGTAAATGTGTTTGGAGTAAAAAATTTCATCCAGGAGAAGTTGTGAACCCTTATATATATGGGAAAATATTTTCCCATGTCATAGGAAAGTTGTTTTCTCCTATTAATGACCCTTCGATTTTAGTGTAATATTTTCTTTTGCTTTTTTTTTTTAATAGATGTGAGCCCTACATAAGATGTGTTTACAACATGAAAAAAATTTCTCCTACGCATAAGAAAATCGAAACTATATATATATATATGCTACAAAGTACGGGACAGTGACCAAAATGTCACGTTTTGGCAAAAAAATTACCAGAATGCCACGCGAACAGTAAAATTTCCCAAACTGTCACGCGACATAATTCGTTACACAGTGTAGTGAGTTATGTATGCAAGTAATTCGCTACACATTGTAGCGAAATATGCCACGTCAGAATGCACAGAATAAAAAAGTGTCATGTGTCAGAATTGTTGAAATTCGCTACATAGGGTAGCAAATTTCAACAATTTTGACACATGACACTTTTTGGTTCTGACGTGGCATATTTCGCTACACTGTGTAGCGAATTATTTGCATGCATAATTCGCTACATTGTGTAGCGAATTATGCCGCGTGGCAGTTTGGCAAAATTTATTGTTAACGTGACAGTCTGATAATTTTTTTGTTCAAACGTGACAAAATGGTGACTATCCCACGAAGTACAAGTCATGTATGCAAATAACCTTTTTAAACCAGCTTGAGTTGGGTCTTACTTTGTGTTATTTCTGAGAAGCTTCAAATTCTAAACCAAAATTCATTCACGTTACAACTGTATGTATAAACCTTATCCCTTAAGTCATGGGCACCAGCAGCGCTTTCAATTGTTACAAGACTTATGACTCATTCTTCTGCTTCTAGGAAGACGCAACAAAAATACTTTTCACGTGGTTGAATGAACGATTATTTTATCATAGGCAAAACAAGATGGCTGCTTCAGTAGTTCATCCTTTCTTTGACTAATGATCTCTGTTGCATCAATTATCTATAAACTTATTTTATAGTCCAATTTAGTCATTGTGTTAAAATAAATGCTTACATATTATGAAAAGTTTTATGGTACAACTATTTATCAATTGATACAGCGGAAGACGGAAATATCTGAATTATTATATCTTCACTCAAAAAAAATTATCAGATATTTAGATTTGATTCAATGGTCAAATACTATGGTTGCACGATAAAAGAAACTTAAAACATTCATAAGTTCAATCATTTTAACTTAGCGGTAAGGTAACTTGATCTAACCAGAAAAAGAAAATAAACTGTTCTATTTAAACCGTCAGCATTAAAGCTCTTTTAATCTTTTGACTCTTTTTCGAAGGCCTTTCTTGTTTACAAACTTATTGACTAGGAGAAATTATTAGCCATACATGAACAACACTAGTTAATATATATAACAGTGAATCCACTAGCAGAGTTGTTTTAGCTAAATTAATGGTCATAAGTTCGAGTTCATTATATGCAATTATGTTAAAAATATAATAAGGAGAGCTTTAGTGTCTGTTTGTATCCTCTCTTTTTTAAGTTAGAAGCTACTTATAAGCATAAGCTAGGCCAAGCAGGTTTTGGGAAAAACTCTTATAATGAAAAGCTCTTTTTTCTATAATGAAGAAAAAAGCTAAAAATTAAAAGCTTCCTAGGAGGAGCTTTTTTTTAAGCTCTTATCTGTTTTTCTTGAATTGTGTACTTTTTTTTAAATGAAGAGTGATAAAGAGAGAAAAATAATTTTCTTGAAATATGTGCTTTTAAGTAAATCTTAAGCTAAAATTTTCATGTAATTTTCAAACAGCTTTTAGCTTCTTTTTTTAAGTATTTTTTTTTAGCTTTAGCTTATAAATAGCTTATAGCTTAAAAATAAGAGGATTCAAACAGGCTCTTAATGTCTGTTCAATAAATCGATGGAAAAAATCTAAAATACGGACACTAATATCATGTGAAAAGGAATACGAACGCTAGTATATCATGTGAAAAGGAAGAAACGGGACACAGCTTGAACGCATCTATGGATGCTAACTCTTAGAAAATTACATAGGACATAGGTTTTGAACTAAAGGAATGCATGTGTGTGTGTGTTGTTATTAGGTAGAAATAGAAATTGAACCAATCAAGTTTAATTAGGTTGAGAGAAATTTTTCACCAACCTGATAATAGTTGAGTTGGTGATCAGGCAATCGCGTTATTTTTTTTATTTTACTAAAATTGAATTGTTTTTATTTAAAAAATCTTTAAAATAAATAATTTTTTAGTACAGATGTAATTGATTCCCAAATAATTTAAGAATTAAATATACTTTACATTTTAGTTTCCCTTGGCCAAAGAATATTGTCCAGGTTTAAAACAAATTATGATTTTGAAAAAAGTGATAATAAACGAGTACTGAATTAATAATGTTAACAAAAATTTTAAAATTTTGAATGCAATATTTGAAGCGTAATTGTAAAAGTATCTTTTGTAAATTATTAATTTCTACTTATTAAAAATATATTTAGTTGTTATTTCTAAATCACTTAGTCATAAATAGATAATCTCATATTGAAATTTTAATGACTCTTGTTATGTGCAGATTTTGTATATACATCTTTCTTTATATATATTCACAAATTTTATTAGAATCTCACTATTTAAAAATTTGGATTAACGTTTCTCTTATCTCCTATAACCTTAAAACGATGTCATTTTGGAGTTTGAAAAAAAATGTAAGGTATTTTAATAAAATTCATAATATAAGGAAAAAATAAAATTTTTAAAACATTCTGTGTTTTTTTTTCCTAAATCCTAAAATAACATTATTTTGAAGTTATTGGAAATAACTTTATTTGCTATTTTAAAAGAAACATTTTTTCCCTTAATAATTACAAAAATAAAGATAAACACAAAAATTTAACGTAAAAAGTGAACATATATTCCCCACTTAATCACATCTCATAATCAATTTTCTTTATCAAGTGAAGACCAACATTGGAGGCAAAATTTGGGCCTCATGTATGATTGTTCAGCTTGTCAGCTTGTGAATCGAGCACGTGGTTGGGTTTTGTTTTTGGGTCTTGACTGAGTTCATTTTATTTACCATTTTTGTGTTAGTCTTCATATTGTCAGGCACGCACTGTGACTGGCCCCATTGATTTCTCATCTTGCTTTTCAGCCCCACAATTCAGCTTAATTACTTATTTACTTCATTTCTCACAACATTTTTTTTAGAAATATTTCAATCGGTCATCGTCAATTTGAGGCGAATCCAATATTAAGTTTTAAACCTTTACATTATTTGAGAGGATCGAACACATGCTCTCGCAACATTTACATCTCATGCGGGGTAGAATATTGCAACATCATATATAGTACAGAGCTTCTCTGGCATTATCCTGGACAATTGCTCACTCTTCCAGCTCACACTTTAAGCAATATTTTAAAATTTGAAATAGAGATTGAGTAGACCAAATCTTTATATAATGGTTGGTTTAACCAGTTAAATTTATAATTAAATTGTAATTGAAACAAATAATGATTTATTAAATAACATATATAACCGATTCACGGGTTTAAAAGTGCATATTCTATAACGCAAATGCCACTGATACAGGTCCCTCAGAAACATAAGAGATAACAATGTGGAAAACAATCAAAAGCATTTTGGTTCCATCGAATGACCCTGCAATTGAAAACCAGGTAGAAATCCACTTTCATGTTACAGAGAATAGCTGTGGTAGTTAAGGAAAGCATCATCTCACAATCATAACCATTGATATATTTGAAAGCACTTAATAAGTATCTTACTCCTAACTGATAAACAATTTATGGTTCAAACAGGAATTTTGCCGAAACACCAAAACAGTAAGCATGACTATATACAAGTTACAATATGCCATGCCATTATCCTTATGGGGACACCAAAATAAGAAAGTATTACGACAAACTCATGCAAGTACAAAATTCGGCAGCTAAGTCCTTAAGATTACAGTTTGTTTAGTGAAAAACCAGAACTACTCCTAGAGACAGCTTCAGGATGATAGAACTATGCATTGATAGAAGCAACTTCAGGATGATAATGAAGCATCTCATTCCACATCATTTCCCTAATCATCTGTTCACCCCAATTTTCATCTATTTCAAGATTGATGGGAACTTGGGCAGGAGGGTTACACCTTGGATCATATAGGCCAGCCATATATGGATGTTGGAGTGCTTCTAAGACAGTAATTCTCTTAGTTGGATCAAATACAAGCATTTTTTGCAACAAATCTATGGCTAATGGATCTGCTTGAGGGTATAGCTGAGAGAAGTGTCTGCCCCTTGTATAAGGCAGTGATTTGATAAACCTCCTGGCTTTTGAATTGTAAATAAACTCAAGATTAGATTCATGCTGGCTTCCAAGAACGCTTATAATGAGTTTCAGTTGGTTGAGGCACTCAGTTCCTGGGAAGATTGGCTTTCTCCCAAGAATCTCAGCAAAAATGCATCCTACAGACCAAACATCAATAGAGGTTCCATAATTGTCACAGCATAACAGGAGCTCAGGAGCGCGATACCATCTAGTGACAACATATTCTGTCATAAACTGGCCATCAACTCCACTGGTTCGTGCAAGCCCAAAGTCACATATCTTCAAATCACAGTTGGCATTGATGAGCAGATTCCCAGGCTTCAAGTCTCGGTGAAGAATATTTGCAGAATGAAGATATTTAAGACCTCGAAGGAGCTAAAGTAGCAGTTTATGATTAGTATCAATCACGAGGATAGTTAAAATAAGCAAAGATTAGAATGGTGATCAACATTCTTCTGACAACTCGTAGACAAGAAGTATGGCAATTATAGTTCATAATAGATTCTTTTCATAAGAAGCTCGATGCTTTAATCAAACAATGTTAAGCTCACATTAAATTCCCAACTTGGGACATTGGTCTTCGTTGTCTAGTAGTCCATGCATGCTACAAGTAGTTCAATTCTTTTCAAATTGAAGGATACCAGAAAGATGAAAATAGGAAAATAGATAATTAGAATGTGATATGAAATTTAGTTACTGAAGCTTTTAGGGGATTTATTTGTTATCAGCATGTTTAAAGAGCTGCACTACATACAAATATTTCACAATTTTATGTTTTCTTTATTTTAATGTGACATGTTATTCAGCCAATTTTCCAGTTAAGGGTGTTTCTCTGTCAGTTATTGAACAAGAATAAAGATCTGTGCTTCACAAAAAGATTTTGCTGTTTTAACATTTTCCTCTTTGCCTTCCCATTATAGCAGGAAACCTAGTCCACTGTTTTGCACTCTCTAGTCTTCTTCCTAGTCAAAAATTTGTTCTGCTATGCAAAAACAATAATAATTGATTAGACGTGCGTGAGCTCATAAATCAAATAAATTGAAGATTACTGTCTTTACTGTCACAAAAAGTGTATATCATTATCCTCTTGTCTAAAATGGACTTGAATATAGTCATTAACAACGTCTATAGTATCTGCATATTAGTTTCATAATACAAAGTAGGACTTCACATACAAGGACATTATCCAAAATTACGGATGGAAAAAGAATAAGTAAAGGGAGTAATAACCATGATCACCAACAATCACAGACACAAACTAAAGGAAAAGGAAAATAAACCTCCTAAAGAAACATCAATGTTCTAATCATCTAGCTCAACAAAATTAGTAGGATCTCTAAGTAAAATGCCATGCCAATATCTAGCCTGAAGAAGAGAATTACAAATATCCCATCCTTAGACTACACTAATCTATAGGCATCAATGTTCTAATCCTCTAGCTCAACAAAATTAGTAGGATCTCTAAGTAAAATGCCATGCCAATATCTAGCCTGAGGAAGAGAATTACAAATATCCCTTCCCTAGACTTCACTAATCTATAGAATGATAGTAAGTGCTACTTCTTAACCTGAAAAATCATGGAACTGAAACGCTGAATTCTTTGACTCAAGCAACATAAATTCAAACTACAGAACATAAAGCCACGACTCAAATTTTCCAACTGCTTGAAACCCAACTAATAGTCTAATACTATTGTATAAGAATGCATGAAAAAGGACATCAATTGTTAATTCGCTTCAGTTGTATGTTAATAATTGAAAATGGTGATTTTACTTCGAAAAAAGGCAAGGTCAATTAAACACTGTTAGAATGCATTGTGATTATAAACCTCTACCAACGCTTCTGCAAATGAATATTTTATGCACTTCTGCAAATCAAAAACTCCACAACCATCAAGGTTTAGAAAGGAGCTAAAGGAATTGAAAATACCATAACAGACTGGTTAGTACCTGAAACAAGAAATATTTGCAGTGATCATTGGAAAGTGGCTGAGAGGACTTGATAATCTGATGAAGATCTGTATCCATGAGTTCATAGACCAAGTAGACATCCTTAAAACTTGTTCTCTGGACCGGCATCATAACATCTTTCAAAGCAATGACATTCTCATGTCGAATATGTCTAAGCAGCTTCAGCTCCCTTAAAGTTCTCAAAGCATCAATACAATTCTCAAATATATTACCAATCTTCTTAATTGCAACTTTCTCATTGGTCTCCCTATTGATGGAAGAGCACACCACGCCATATGCTCCTCGGCCAATTGGCTTGATTGGAACGTACTTCGTATCAATCTCAAACAATGTTTGTGATAATGTATAATAATGCTTCCCCTTTGGCTTAATTCTGTTGGGGGGCTCAACTAGAGTTGCCATTTTCCTGCAAATTAGCAGCAGCTCAATATATTCTCAAGGAGTAAACACTAAACACACATAGGAGACTAGCAATAAACTCATAACAGCAAATTCATTATTATAAGCATGGATAATGTATTGCTCTAACTGTGACAAGCAATCAACAGTCTGTTAAAGCTGGCTGTAAACGAATATCAGAAAATTGAGTGCATATATCTTCACTTGTCAACACCACATGGTAGTGTTGTGTTGTAGGACAAAGGGTGAATCAATAGATACTTTATATGCAATGTAAGAAAAGGTTCGAATCAATTCTTACTTGTTATTTCTACACCTGGGTTTTGATCTTTTGATGTCACCTTGTCTCTTTTTCGAACTTATTCTCTCCAAGCCTAACTTTTTGGTCTATCTTTTTTTCTTAAAAAATAACAAAGATTCAATTTTTATCTTTCCTCTTCCCCTGATCTCAGCCTTTAACCCATCCCAATAACAAGAAGACCAAATCAGATTGATTCCAAAAAAGTCAGAAAAACGTTCATACCACGGAATTCAGCTTTCACACCAGCATCTACAATCTCCCAGTTGCTTGAGACACCAAAAGCAAAGCCAAAGACAAAGAATTCCTGAACTGATGCAGCCTCAAGTAATCGCTCTGTAACGACCAATTTTGCACAACTCAATCAATAATCTATAGAATGGATTGGATTCAAGAAGTGGGTTTCATTCAAATTCAAATCTTATCATATAAATAATAATAAAATGATCTCAATTCTATCAAGATCAGGATTCAGAAGAAAGAAAGGTCATAGCCCATAGTCATCATATCATATTCATAAATAAATAAATCATAACATATCCTTAGCATTATGCTTTAGTTGCTTACCTAATCATAAAGGCATAGAAGAAAATAAAAAATAAAAATAAAAATAAAAAGAAGGGGTAATGTAATGTAGTTACGGGAGAGAAGAAAGTGAAATGACGCATTAACATTTTAACATACCCCATGACTCACATGGGTCAGCACGAAGACCCCAACCTCACACGGCATCAATATTTGGTATTATTGATTGGGTTTACTTTGCTTTGCTTTACCCGTAAGAGAATGAAAAGCTTTCGATGTTGTGTTTGGTCCTACTTCTTGGGAACTTAAAACCTAAAATGTGTCGAATACCCAAAAAAAAAAAAAAAAAAAAATCTAAAATGTGTCTTGTCTTTTTCTTTCCCACGTTAACGTTAACCATTACAATTTGGTTCAGGCATGAGTTTCCTCTGAACTAAAATCTAGTACATCAGCCAATAATATTTGTCAGATACTGCGGAGGTACGGTACCAGCCCTGGAATTATAAGCAATTTAATATTGGCTTTGGCACTGAAAGTGAGTTACCTCCTATTGTTGGCTGCCACCGATGTTACTCATGCTTCTCGCCAGAATTCCCCTAACCCTTTTTTAGGAATTTGTTGTTCGAACTCGAATAACAAGTAATTGAGTGATTCGGTTAACTTTTAAGGAAAAAAATTGTAATTTTTACTAGGGTTTGAGGTTGATCCTATCACACGTGATAAGATTACCTTGTGACTTGAAAGATATGGTTTTGGGATTTAGATCTTATGATCCAAAGATTGAGGAAAATTTTCTTTTGTAACTTTAGTTTATTTTGAGTTGTATTAATTTTTATTATGATAAACAAAATTTATCAATCCTCGATTTGGGATTACATGATATAATTTTATCTAATGCCTAGATAAACATTAAATTATTTTTAAAAAATTTATTATAAATTTTTAAAATATTAAATAAATTAATACAGAAACACTTCAAAATTCCACTTTTCTTGAAATATATCAACTTTATTTTTTTTCCTCCACTTTCAGTCCCCTTTTTTGTTGGTCATTCAATTATTACATCATTGGAAACCAACTAACACAAAATAATAACTACAATTTCACTTAATGAAATTAGAAAGATTAAGTTTAGGCTTATGCGCTGGATTTTAATTTTTTTTATTAGAATTTATATCTTAAATTTTGAAAGGTAAAGTTTAATCATGTGAATTAATTGACAAGATTTATGTATAAAAAAAAGTTGACAAGAGTTGTTTCATCTCAACCAATGAATTGATAGAAAAAAATTTAGTGCTCTTTAATCCTGTTGGGCTCTGATGATTCTCAAAAATTGAGATCCATTCAATTGTTTACATGCTCCTTGAATTTATCTATTTGCGGTTAAATTTAGTGTTTTATTCCAAGTTTGTTCCCCGGAGCACTTAATTGATAAATTGGGCTAGAGCAATCAGTGAATGTTAGATTAAAGTAGTACTGGGAGCATTTTAGTTGATTTTATTCTCACGAGCTTAACGGGCTAAATTGCTTTTTGTAGGAAACCTAAGGCCCAATTAAAGACGACCCAATTCAACAAAGGAAGAAACTTAGGAGAAAAGAAAATAAAAGGAGACAATAAAGCATAAAGAAACATGCACCTGCGCCTTGAGCAGAAAAGCAGCCAATCGAAAGCTGCCACATCAGCGATGGCAGGGAGAATATTTGCAGCGCCTCAACAACGTAAATTGCAGTGGCAATGTTGTAAAAGAAGGGGATTATAAGAACCCGCATCGTTAATTAAGGAAGTTAATTAATTAAATATATGAAATTAGAAAATAATTCCATAATTAATCCTAATAATTATTATGAGGCTTAAATAATTATAGAAAGTGGTTAATAATGCTGAAAGTCATTTTTCTGACGAAAAGTGCAGATACCGGTTCTGCTAGTCGGTATAAATGCGTACCGAAAAAGTATCCCGGAAAATTATAATAAGTGCATGATAATTCCTAGAATAATATATAGGACTTGTAAAATGAGTTTCGAGTTAAAATAATGAGAACTGGTGCCAGAAACTGATATTGGCTATGAAAAGCGCGTACCGGAAAGGTGCTGCGAAAAATATAAGAAAAATATGATAATTCTTGTAAAATCGAGTAGGTTAAGAATCCTGAGTTTAGGATTAAAATGCTAAGCGTAGCAATTAATGTTATATCTGTGTGTTTAATGCTTAAGTGACTATATATAGGCTTGTTAAGGCACAAAACCCTACACATTCAGATTTCCTACGTGACTCCTTTGGTGGCTGAGTGTTGGTTACTGTTCCATTGCTCTTTCTTCACCATTTCTTGAGCAAGTGGGCTCATTTTGCATTGAGTCTTCTCTTTTCTTCATCCTAAACACTTGGTTGGGGTGAGGGTGAGCATTGTGAGTGAAAAGGCCAACCATTTTCTGAGTTTGGGGACTGTCTTGGGGTACCTTGAGGGCTGACTTGTTGGGTTGATTGTTGTGAGCCTTGATCATGGCCCTTTGAGGTCCAAGGAGTGATCTTTTGATGCTAGAACCAACCTTTGTGAAGGCATTTTCGTTTTCTGTATAAGTCAAAGTTCGAGGAGCTGATTGTGAGCTCCAAAAGCACTCTTTCCTCTGTTTTAAGCCTTGGGATGAGTTGCCTAACCTTGATCATGGATTTTAATGTTTTAAAGGTGGTGTCTTTGCATGTAAATGAGTTAAACAAGTAACCAACTGTTGTATGAACCTAAAACAGTATAAAAATGCATGCTTTGACGTTTTAAAGTGTTAAAATGGTACCTTGGATGGATATCTTCGCGGATGCAAAAGCTCCTGTCTGTCGCGAAATATCTGGATATGTGTATCCGGATATGATATCCGAATATGGATATCCGGATATGCATATCTAGATATGATATCCGGATATTGATATCCGGATATGTCCCCGACAAATATCCAGATATTCTGGGTTTGCGAGGAACAGTAGCTTACTATTCATCCAGAACTGATGTTTGGGGGTTTGTGGACCCTAGATTGTTGAAGTTGAACTTCTGTTTTAATTGAACTAAGTCAGAATCATTGTAATTAAGGGCTTGTGGCTTTGTGTGAAGCCTTAAGACGTAAAACGTAAAGAAAGGCGTTGTCTTTAAGTTGTATGCTTGTAGAATTTGATTAATGATATATATTTGGTCCGTAACAGATTGTGATACTGCTGTGTTTGGACTTTGAGATTGTGTTGGACTCTTGGCTTGGATAGCTAGCTTGCAAGGTAAGCTTTCATGTCCTCCGTTTAGCCATGTTGTGGTTCCACCATGTCCCATGGGGGTATGGTTATATGCATGCTGTGTTATATGCTTTTGATGTCTTGGAAATGCTGCTGAGTTGTTATATGCTGGTGCCTTTATGATATGCATGTGGTGTTCCACCTATACGATAAGCCTGAGTATGTAGTACATACAATATGGTGAGGTTGTGGGTGAGGTGCAAGCGGTGTTCCTTGTACTACATGTAGGTGATAGACGTATTCCTACATGTTTCTGGCCAATAGAATACTTAAACACACATGTCATAAATATCTGTTGCACTGCATAGTTTTGGAACTTATACTGAGTTACTGCTTTTAGAACTTATACTACACATGTAAGTGAGCTTGGGGTGGAAGATCCTTGAGGATCCCTTGTCTTACTGAGATTTCTGGTTTAGAGATCTCACCCCACGTTTGGGGAATGCTTATTTCAGGTTCAGGTAATGCGAGGGTTGAGACCTCCAGTGGCAAGAGGCCAGAGCTTAGCTGATAGATGATACTTGTTTATGCTGCTTATGCTGTTATGATTGGATGTTGGATCCTGTTTACTGTCTTATGCTTTTAGCTCCAGTTTATGGATTACTATGTGGAGACTTTGCTGGTTATACTGTTGATTTGGTGAGCATGGGGATTGTCCATGCCACATAGACTTGATTATGTCTTGTTTCATTTGGAGTTGTAATAATGTATCAGGATATTGTCCGGACTACGTGTTGTAGATCCGTGATTTAGATACTCACTTTATCTATGTTATGAGGTATTTCAGTTAGATGTTTATTTGTAACTTACATACAGGCGATATTTTATGAAAATGGTTAAGTAATCAACTTGGCTAAGTATAATGACGTCATAATTGAAAAGAAAAAGATATTTCGCATTTTTAATTAAGCGCAGCTTAATACGATGATATGTTAACGAACCGGGTATACACGGGGTGTTACAGGGATCACTATTGTGAGTAAGGCTGACATGGCAGGGAGCAATGCTCTGATTGGAGAGCATTTGAAGAAAGCTGAGTTGTTGATTTACTGGACGGATAAGATCCACCATCAAGGATTCTACACCACATAAAAAAAGAAGGAAAACTTACAATACGGGGGATCTTCTTCAACCTTTAGACGCTATCATTGTTCTTAGCTTAGTTTTTTCTGTAGTTTTATTTTTCTTAGCTTGTATCATGCTCCCAAGATCTTTTTTTGCTGTCAATGCTATATGCATATACAAAATTACAGATCCCTTTTGTGTAACGGGCAAAAACCATGCCTAAAGAGCCATTTATTTATACAAGTCCTGGATGAGCAAAATATGAAGAATCTAAAACAACTCCATCCACGAGAATGAAGGGTGCTAACCACGAGACCACATGAAGTGGATTCCAAACCAAACAAGGAGGAAACTTTGACTTCTTTAGATCAATTGGATATGAATATTAAGTGCAAAGAAAGACATAAATAGGGATCTGAATATGTTCATCAATAACCCCAAAAACAACTTCATTAATTAACAAAAAGGTAAAAAAAAATACATAACCCCAGATAAATCATAAACCAGAAACCATGGAGACAGTCAGAAACCATGGAAACAGTCACGCCGGTGGAGAGAAGAAACTTATCGAAGAGTGAAGACCTCGTTATAAAGAGCAGTGTGTAAGAAATGTCCAGAAAAGGAAGGGCAATTTTGTCCCAAAAATATTGTATAATTTTCCCAAGATCCAAGATTCTAGGATTATCACCTTTTCTTTGGTATTTTTTGATGGTAATCAGAATCACAATTTACACACAAATTCAATTCCAGGTAAAATTCAATTCCGGGGATAATTTTTACAAAACTTGTAACAAACGTGAGTTAACAAAATTCCCAAATTCATTTTCCCAAGAATTTCAAAAAAGTCTATCTACCAAACAGCCCCTTAATCCATAGCTTGGGGGCAAGTTGACCTCATGGTTTATATTTTACTCTTTTTGTAACTTTCTA